TGGAAAAAAGGTCAGGCAAGGAAACCTTTTTTCCGAAAATCCTTCACAACGTAGAAGAAATAGGAATAACTATGGATGCTATTTGATATACTGTTATCATCGTCCGTCTAAAAACTGCTGTCATGCGGTAAGCTTGTACATCCTCAGGACACGCACCACGTCCAGTTATAGGGTATAGGTACATTTCAAAGCGACGTGGCCTGCCACTGCTTCATGGGACAGTCAAGGCAGTTTGATTGGAACCAACGGACGTGGATTAGGCGCAACTGATGACAGGCCCTTAACTCCGACCGGGTTACAAAATCTCGACCCAAACCAAATAAATGACGGCGAACTAGGAATCATTATTTAATTTTTCTCTGCAGTAAACTTCCTACTCTGGACAAGAGTCCATCGACCTGACATCAGGCTAAGTTACACTTGTAACTATACTAGTAAAACTGACAGAACTTTGCTGCTTCAGCAAGCAGTCAAACCTTAACTACTTGAAATCCGAATCGCTTTATGCTGAGTAGATCAAATAGATGCATTTTTACCTTAGCTCCACGAGAGCACAAGCAAGCTGACGTGATCATCGCACTTGCGAAAATATTGCAGTAATGTTATCTTTGGTAGCTTGAGATGCTGTTAAAAGCAACGGTCAATGTGAAACTACTAAGGCAACTGACGTCCCACGTTCCAGTTCCAGTTGCCCCTAATCATATCCTAGCAACAACCCTATTACGAAGTATAATAAGATTTTTTGCAAAAACATACGTGACAAAGTGATCTGTAATACAAAAGGACACAGGTTACCCCAATGTATTAAGTCTAGCAAAAACTAATGAAAGATTAACAATCTTTCATTAGTTTTTGCTATGCTTATGACATTGGCCTTCTGAACTTTAGCTAGGTCATGTCACTTTCCTATCGTGTCTGTTGTAGTGGACAAAACTGGACGAAACAAATTCTGGATCGACTCATAGAACCTAGGTTAGGTTTAACCAATACTTGTGTAGAAACAAGACTATGCTGCCTTTTATCATTTTCTGAAACGGGATGTGGTATAAAATATCAATTATATATAATATATGTAAAAATATAAAATATAAAAATCACTAATGTATGCCTGTCGCTTTACCTCATTAGGGACACAATTCGCATCACGTCACTATCTTCTCTGGTTTACTCAGCATGCATTTCTATACGTATACTTTGAAGTCGCTGTTTTCATTCATACTTAACATCCAATATGGAAAAGTTTTCCTTCCTGGAGCGGCTTGCAGCCTCTGGCTCTGAAGTTCCTTTGCGCAGTGCTACAAAAGCCCGGAGCTGTACGCACTGACCCCCATAGCCACGCACACCCATGCGCGTCCTTTCAGCGGTATCGCCAGCATATTGATGGCACTTTTTTCTCTCAGAGCCCCTCTAACGGCCAGATGATTCAGATCACAGCTGAATCCCTAAAGGGATATTTCCTTGTATGAAAGATTTCCATAAATGCTCTCTTTTGTCGAGACCCAAGCACCATGATACTAACCTTGCTGCTATTGAAAACTATAACGCCTAAGGAAGGACAGCTGCACAGTACTACTAATGTCTGTGAAAAATTTCTACCTGGTTGGAAGCTCGTTGACTTGATACGGTATTTTGGTTGAGATTGGTCTACAATATCTACATGGACGCACTATCAGGCGACGTATAGCAATGACGGCGTCGGCGCCATCGCCGATACTAACATCTGGGCCAACATTTCTGACTCGTTTGTCTGACGTTCAAGGGTTGTGCCTTCTGCAGTCAAAAAATATTAAAATCATTACTGCAAGTAGTTCCTTCCTCTTGTACACATCTTATTTGGAATCTGATCAACCCGTATGGTTCCGATTTACATAACTGACCATATGCCTGCCCGCTTCAATTGAATCTATCTGTAAAGAAATTTGCTGCACATATTTGTATTTCGTTGTACTAGGGCCCATAAGGGGAAGATGCCTATTTCTTAGCTTTTCGACTATATTATTCGTTATTTTTTTTTCTTTTTTTTTTAATAAAATACACCAAGAGTGTCACGTGAATGTTGTTAACTCGCCTTTGACTCTCAGCCTCTACTCCCTATACATTGAATGAGCCCGGATCCTAACCATGAGGTGTTACTACGAGGGCTATTTTTAGGTAGGTAGAGAGTTCATAGCACAGCTGGGCTTAGACCAGTCTCCCGACAAAGTTTCAAAGAGCAGGCTTACATTACGGGGTGTCAGCCATGTTTTCTTTAACGATTGTTGACTATCCGGTCTGCTGCATCCGTGGGATATGAACGAACACATGATGCCCACGCCCCGTATGGACGAAGAGACGTATTTCTGTCGCAATGGTGTCGGCCGCCTCCACTAATAAAAAGTATCGTTTCATGCGTAGGAGTTGATAGGTATTTTTTGCATACGGTTAGTTTCGTTGACCTTATCACTTACGAATTTCTGTCGATTGCGAGAGGGTTCCAGTACTTGCTCAAGTTCGATTTCCAGACTCCTTACCATTCATGTGGACTAATCGTTCTGTATAGCTGAAGATACAGATCATATCATTTTATAATGTGTTAGCATTAATTAAGTTCCTCTCTCTTGTGTTCCGTCTCTAACAGTCACGTGTAATAAGATGTGGCCTTGTGTCGGGAAGGGGCAAAACGACGGCAGTCTAACTTCGTACAATTATACCATAAAAACGAACTCTATGCTGAAGGACAATTTAATGAACGTAATTGTTTACTGAATTTATCAGTTTTTTTTTTTTTTTTTTATCAGAAGTATATAGCTTAAAAATTACAGAAATTAAAACCGGGGTAGAAATGCGAAGTTGCTAGCTGCTTGCCCTTAATTCCTCTTGCTCTAAGACTTCACACGGCATAGGCCCTTACAGGGCTGACCATTTACATATATACAAGGGTTAAAAATTCGTGGAACGATCCGTTATGGCCATTGTAGGCAAATAGGCGCGGAATGCCGTCTTACTTATAACGCTTGTAATTAGATCTACAGAGAAGAAGCGCACTGAACTCATAAGCGCATTAAGCAAGGAAGAGTTAGTTGGACCCACTGGAGAGCCTTATTTCTATGCAGATCTACACAATTGATCCGCACCATTTTTTACTTCACTCAAAACGAATTGACACATTTTTTAAGGCGAAAATACAAAGACCATATACAAGGTCACACAGATAGAATTATATTATTATGTGCGCATGAAAAAACTTATCTAACTTAAATCAACATAGTTAGGCTATTTTTCGTCTTGCATACCGCTGTATCACTTTAGTAGTACTTGCTTCAGATGAGGAACAGAGAACAATTCAACGACGCAATTGCTCTACTCTTTGTAATCACATAATTGCCGTAAAGAACTCATAACTGCAGACACAAAGCATAAAGTGTGGATTTTATTCTGTATTGGAAAACGATAGAAGTTTAAGGAAGGCTCGAGCCCAACAAGAGCTCGCCGCAATAAGTAACGGGACAAATAGAACTAATATTTTATATCAGGATACGATCGACGTTTTTCGCACCATAACATTATAATACTCCAAATTAATGTCATTTTATAGGGCTTAGACTTTAGGACCAAAACGTAAATCAAAAAATTAAATGTTCGATCTGGGTGCTGTAGCCTATTTTTACCTAAATAAGTATTATTACCTAAATAAGTTGTATTTTCCACTTTGATTGACTTGAAAGACCTTGAAATAGGTACACTAAAACCTGTAAACAAGAGACTCTACAATATTCTGACATCACCTAATGACTGTGTTTTATTATATTTATAGTAGACTAAAAACAAGACAGGATAACACCGAATGGTATGGAAAAAATGTGGTCCTAACATCTAATAATTATTTTTTTTGGTGTTATGCAGAGTTACTGCGTTTCTAAATATTTCGGTTAAACATAACGTCGTTGCATTTATTTACCCGTTATACGGGCCAACAATAATTGCGCTTTTTTGGTTGGCGTTTTGTTGCATAGCGGTAAAGTTAGACGTATAAAAAAAATTGTGATGTAACGACCAACGAAAAACGCCTGAAAATTTCTAAGTAACATACTTTGTCTCATCACGAAAATGAATCCGCTATTTGCTGATAGGTAGAGGATTTACACCTTATCACGGAGGTAATAAACATTCGCGCATATTATTAACTCAATATACATCGGTACGAGCGGGACGTTCATGGAACTGCCAAAATGCGTGCAAACCCAAGCATCGTTTTTTCAAGTATATTGTTTTTCGCTTGCTTAATAAAGACGATGATGGCCTAATTTTTGTACATACATGTTTAATGTCTTCCTAGCTCGCCTAGTTAGGTCCTTAGGTTGTGCAGTATTTACAAAAAGGTTTAGGGGACTATCCGTGCGGCGCTCTATTGATTAACAGCGAAGGAATTATTGCCGTGTTAGCAATTCCAATGAAAACCTACCGCACCTGCGCGTATTGATTAAGCCAGGGCCGCAATCTAAATCGTTAACTGACAACGCTGCCTATTTATTGTAGAATCAACCGCAAAAGCATTTTTCCACTCACGGTAGATAATCTACCGTGGAACACAATACCTAGGATTGATTCTGAATCGTGTTCGCTCAAGCAAGGCTATTCGCATTTCCTCTATTGAATGTCAACCTGAACGGACAGGTCTGTAATTAAAGTTAGTCACGGGCGGTGTCCTTTTAGGCCAGCACCTTAGCACGTCTCTTGCCTCGGACGAAGCAAGGAGCTAACTACAACAGTACAGATTCGTTTAAAAATTCCTTTGAAATGAATATTCCACTTTGATTTAAGAGTAATTTTTTCGAAAATGTGCGTATAAACTGAGAAAGAAACCATAATCAATCGATATGTTATTTCCGTGTATAACCCTACCACTGGAAGACTTTCAAACGGTACCGAAGTTCAACCCAATGCAGTAGTTAATATTTCATAGGATGATCCATGTTTTTGGTTAAGTCTACTTTTATTAAAGAATGAACGACTCCCTCAAAGTGGTCAAATGGCGAAATTTATCATACATTAACTTTATATAGTACTCTGCCTTTTCATGAACATTAAAAGTAGTCTTAATCCATGTCGGATATTCCAGAGGAACGTGTCTAGCTATGGCTTCACTTGCAGGCACCTGGGAAGAAGGCAAAAATACACGTTATCGTATTGTTTTAAGTGTGTTTCTATTTACGGCCAAAACTATCCAAAAGAAATTGTCCTATTGGTATCGATTTTAAAACTTCCGACAATCTAATGCAATGATGTGCTTTCTATGTCGAGGACAGGCTGTCTGTTTCAGTGCTCAATTTTGGCGTCATAAGTCAATTAATAATGTCCCCGGTATGAAAGTTGTATGACTTTGTTAAATCTTCTATGGCATATTGTCTTATCCTGACCATGAAAGGTTAGACTTCCTAACATAAATTGTCCAAATCAAGTTTGACAAGTCTGTCTTATGAATCATTACATTCAATCCTACTTAGTTGGTTTAATACGAAGAAACACTAATATAAATAAAAATTAAAAAAAAAAACAAAAAATACGCAGTGCTACCTGGAACTTCAATGGTAACCGGTATACTAAACCATGGTCGTCTGCTTGTAAATGCTGCGGTATCGCATCGCTTATTACGAAAATTAGTCGTAACGAAGATCTAAAAAGGGTGCTCTCTAACGTATACGGCATGTGCGACAGATTAGACAGGGGCCTAGTTTGTAAACATGGGCAGGGTCCACACTCTAAGACTATTCTATGTTGGTCCTTTGGTCGAACCGGATCGAAGGCTTTGTGCTCGCAACATTGTGCCAAGGTCCGTACGTACCTTAGACGTAACCTATATAATTTTGCACATTAGAGCTGTAATTTTTCAGCACTTTCCCAGATCGTGTAAACACGATAGCTGCGGTCAACATGGGTTTTGTCAAATGCCCATGATATTGTCTGTCCAATGAAACGCAGTGGAAAAAAAGCTTCGATATAGTAACGCAAACTATAGGCGATTATTTTTCTAAGTATCGAAGGCGTTTGATGGCAATTGTACGTAGATGCAAGCAAACTAATCTTATTAACATAACATTCTAATCAGTTGGGCCTACCTTATTTTTTATATTTACATCTCACAGTTTATCAACAAGATAACTAACAATTACACATGAGCTTTTAAAAACATTCTAGACCGCAAATGGAATCAAGTGGACGTATCCGATTCTTGAATCCAACCTCCCGACTTGGATGATCGACAATGAAACCGATAAAAGTCTAGTTATCCAGTTACGCGCAGTTGTACCTGATATATTCGCAGTCACTCTGATTTCGATCTAACCTTATAGTGACTTATCAGATTTAGTTTCTCGATGAATTAGTCGATATTCAGCTCGATACTGCCTTAATGCCCTGTGTCAATGCCAGTTAGCTATTACAGAGAATCAGCATCTGCACAAGTTTCCATGGAGCTTTCAAATATCCGCGGGCTGCATCCGTTGTATTCGGCCTTCCCATTCATTCGGTACCTGTTTCCGTCCGTTAGCTTTCGTTCGCTTGCCCGCCGTCTTATGTTATGTTATGCTGCCGTCCATCCGGTGCGCCGACAGCATCAAGCTCTGCAAGCACCTCCGATTTGACAACTATCCGTTATCACTGCTGCTGTTACTACTAATACCTACAGTAGGATACAGCAGCAAGCCACAGACGGCACGACCATGATGGCGGAGGCCGATATGAGCACGATCGAAGCGCCTCCTGGTGTCTGATGAACATACGACAACGACGAGTCAATGCGAGCTCCTCCTGGTGGTGTCTGCTTAGCTTTGCTGTCTCGCTTCAATTGTCAACTTGTCGTTGCCGCCGCCGCCGCCGCCGCCATTGTCGACTATAGATGAACCAGCCAGGAACGGCGCAGTAGAGGCGGCAGCCTGTGAGAGTTAGAGAGCCGACCGCCCTCAGTTCGCTACCGGAAAGGGCCGAGATACGATCTGTCTGAGTCTACTGCTGCTGCTGCTTGTGGGTCCTGAAGTCTGCAGCACTGAACGTGTGCTGATGTGTGTATGTTAATATGCCAATACTGTTCCTATTAATTCAACCGCTGCGAAACGGCGCTCTGTAAACGACGACAACGAAACGAGCGCGGCGATAGGACGACAAAGCGACATACAGTAAATCGTTTCCATAGTGTTCTTTTTTGAGGTTTCATACGTTCCGTCGTCGGACGGCGACGACGACGACGACGACGACAGCTCGCTCGTTGTCCTGACGGCGGCAAAAAACAGTGATTCTCGACAAGTATCAGCGATAGGATACTGTCCGGTGCTCGATTGTCTACTGTTTACAGAGGCAGTAGCAGCAGCAGTAGCAGTAACAGAATCAGAAGAAAACGCCTGCTGACAGACTCACTTGTTTTTTGCTTGCCCTTAATTTCATACGTACTATTTCGCCGAGTGCAGCGGATTTAAGCAATCGTGGCAGTCTGTTCGCTCGTGGACGATGAACGAGCAGATAGCGCCTGACGATTTCTGGCTGTAGTTTTCCCATGCCGTTACTGATGTTAGCCGTTATTGTTATGATTTAATGTCCTACGGGAAAAGACGGCGACAACGACGTGCATTGCGTGTAACGACACCTGTATATTCTATCGAGGCCAGTAGAAATCGTACAGAACGTTAAACACCGAGAAAAAAATCAATTAATTCCGAGATTTGCCAGAAGCAATCAGCTACATCGGTAGAAACCAACGCTAACCAGCTTTTGAAGCAGTAGATCAAAAGGCGAACTGATTACGGCAAGCTTCACGCGAGAGCGACAGCCGTAGCGTTGACATCTATAACAGAATTAAAAACACTGAATGAAAATCAAATGGATAGAAGACGACCATCGATTTAGCAATACGTATCGTATAATAACAACAACAACAATAAGAGTAGCATCGACAAACAGCAAAAGTTGGTTGTCAGCAGTCGACATTATCGCTCGACGACAGAGAGCATTTTAGCGGAGATATCTGTCGTTGTCGACGACGCAAAGACACATGTTGCGTGTTTTTCCATTGCTACAGTAAAAAAAAAAACTTGTTTACGTGAAACTAATGTCCTGTTCATCAGCGTCTACGGAATACGACAAAATTCATACATTGCGCTACCATTTGCCCTGGATAGTATGGATGCAGGCGAACTAATCCAGCTTGACTTATGATGGAAAGCCCGGCATCTAATTGACCGTTCTATTTAACGGCCGCCATCGCTAAGGTGACTGTCCCTTTAGCTCTAGTATATTGTTATCGCTGCTATTGTTGTTGTTATTACGTTGAACGTCATATTCCTCTGCTTTGTACTTTGAAGTATATCTAAAAAGTAACGGTCGCTTCGTTGTCCCATGTCACTTGATGCGAAGAAGAAACGAAAAAGCCTACTTTGCCATAGAACTGATACACTTGGCCAATTACATTATCAACGATTCGCAAGAACTGAACAATTTAACAGCTAACTCGGTCGGTACTTACTGTCTTCACAGTATCTGTATGTTGTTGTTGTTGTGCGCGCAATTACCCCCAGTCAAACGAATTTATAATAGATATTAGACAGAGGTATTGTCAGCGTTTAGTAGTCGTCAATTGCCAGAGAAATTTTTCTGCACCTCAGACGTTTGCCTGTTGCTCTGTACGGTGTCTATTCGGATATTTCATTTGCTCTGTGTCCACAAATCCACGCGATCTACTATTGTTATCCGCTTTACTTCTATGCGAACAGCGTCTACAAGGGTACGCATTGAATTGTTCGAAATTAACCACCGTTCAGCGTTACGCGGTCTCACTGCGATGAAAAGGAAGTTTGGCGTACGTCACAGCCTAAGAGCACAGCACGGCAACAACATCGCTAACGAACCGTAATCTATGATAGTAGAAGTTTTGCCTGTAATCTCTCTACTATGATTGGTCCTTTTTTGGCGGATTGAAGAGGGTTAGATGGAGCCGTCCCAGCGCCCCCGTCTACCCCAGATTGTATACATCGGAGATTCATACTAGTTCATTCAGCCATCACTGTGGGCCGCCGCTGCTGCATCATTTACAAGAAAACTTCATATACCTGTTATACAAGAAAGTCTATCAGAAAAAAGAAAGCCGGCCTGCTACGTGTGTTCTACCCGTTTGAATGTGGTAGCCGTTGGATTTGTCGTCGCATCACCACTACAGCCGTCGTCGTCGTCGTGGCCATCAGCATCAATGCCAACTGGCGTCTGTTCTTTGATGATAAAAGTTCTCGCATCCCCGAAGACGGCTTCCTGATGATAAGTAGTGATAATAATAAAAACAGTAATAATCCAACGGAACAGACGGCAGTGTCGTTGTTTTCGTCACCGAATCGTATTTTTAAGTTTCAAGCGCCGACGTTCAGTTCCAAGACTGTTGTTGTTGTTATTGCGGTGGTGGTCGTCGCCGTCGTCGTCGTCGTCGTTGTTGTTGTTGTTGCTGCTGCTGCTGCTGCTGCTGTTGTTGTTGTTGCTGCTGTTGTTGTTGTTGTTGTTGTTGTCTGTGTTGTTCGTAATGTGATTGGTTTTTAGGGCTATATTTAGTTAATGCCGTCTTGCCGTAATTACCGCGGCCTGTTGTGTCTACTGCAATATCCTTGATAGTGTCGAAATTCCCGAGTCGCAGGAAGTATTGCAGCTGCAAGTGAAAGTGTTTTCGAGCATATTGCAAAAGGTTCTCAAGCCTTATGAATTTCGGTACACTCAAGAGCTCAGCTCAATCAAAAAGCGATGCATTGAAAATGCACAACAGGATTAATAAAATCAATGAAAACTTCGCGCGCACTGGCAATGAGAAGTAATAATTATAATCAAAGAGTAAGACAACGAATAGTGAGAACGATAACGCATTATTGATACGCTTCAGCCATCATTATTGTCATCTTCATTGTGTGCGGAATTCGTGTGTTACGAAGTGTTCAATTGTTTCTTCATGGATTTTGTGCCGTTGGTACGATCAAAGCCGCGTGTGGTGGTGACAGGTTGATAATTAACGGAACAACTCCCTCCCCCCCCGCCGCCGCCGCCGCCGCCGCCGCCGCCGCCGCCGCCGCCGCCGCCGCCGCCACCCAAAAATCGCTAGCGGTTTAGCAGACGATTCGAGAAGTTCGGGAGGCCTCCAGATCGTGTACGCTCGGCCTGGAGAGCACCAAAAAGGAACAGGACAACATTGTAGATCAACGACGTTCGACGAAAACAACGATGAGTGTCGGTAAGTATTATCGATCGTTCTGGTTAATTGCTTTCAATCGTGATAAGATTCGTCAGGTCAAGCTGCTATTAAATATCTAAAAGATTTCAGCTTAATAAACAGAAACACTGTTAACATCGGTAAGCGCGAATCAAAGTAAACAGGGCAGATGCGATGGCATCGAAATTCTGCTATAATTCTGCGAAATTCAGTTATAAAAGACAGAAGACTCTACCTTTAAAGGAACGAGTCATTCCAGTCTTTAACGATAGGATAAGTGTCATAAGGTAAAAAATGCTCTTCGTTTCGGTTGTCGGAATATTTTTGTATCAATTTTGTTCTTGCGACCCTATAACGGTCTGACTTCGTATTGACAAGATATTCTGGTTGTTCCGTCGGGTTTCTTTTTTGTTTGTTATCATATCAGTACTTTGCCATACGGCTGTTGAGGCATTGCTTTTAGAGAAATTGGAAAATCTCTATTATACCCCTATTATATATGTTCTTAATAGTTCAATTGCTTTTTCAAAGAATGGACACATATGAATTAATATATAATCAAATCACTTTCAACCCTCCGCTACAGCAAACGGAATATCATTCCGTTCTGCGTGGGTGCATGCTTTTCACAAGGCTGATTTCTTAAGCCAGTTTTCCATAGATCATGTGTGGACATCAAACATGCGCCTAAGAGATCTCTGCAAACGTTATCTTTCGGGGTGTCTAACTAGTGTGCAACGTGTCACAAGTGCGCTAACGTGGAAGACACTCCTGAAACGTCAAGCAACATGGTGAAACATGTGAAGAGTAAGAGAATAACCTAAGGCCAATAAAGGCTATCAAAAATACAAAGATTGTGGTCGTGACCTGAGGTATCAGATACCTGGAAGCGCGCATAGCTCTTCCCTTTGAGCTCCAAGAGCTCTTCCCCAAGAGCCTTCTTTGAACACGCAAATGTCCAAAGAAGGCTCTGGAGCGGGAAATGTCAAAACATCCTCCAGGCATTTGAGCTTTATTTGACGGCTTTACTGAGCCTGTTTCAAATAACGTAGTTTTTCGCTTCGTATGTATGTATGTATGTATGTTTATTAAACAGATTCCCCTGGCTATTCATTTAGTCAACTGCGAACGTCTACTGCCATGGCTCTTCTGTAATAGTCAGTACCCTCCTGTATAGCACGCCCTCTGCCCATCCGATTATCGTATTATCGGGCTGCGCCAATGATTTACAGTCGAACGATGACTCGGCCGATCACAATGCAATCCCTAAATCATACTGCTACGCGATATCATCGTAATATTATGTTACCGATGGACTCGGTCAGTGACTGAGCAGATAAATGGCCTAGGCTTACTACCGCTGGCTGCAGGCAGAAGACATCGTTGTCACCTACATTTCCTGCCGTACGTCATAGATCTGTGTGTCATCTATCAGCCGAGGCTGAGATTGCCAGAAGTAAGGCATCAGCAGGGGTGCTTGTGATCGACGATTGCTTAGCCTTCTCACTGTCCTCACTCAGATCGTTTCCCTACCTGAATGTGGCTGTTGTTGGTGGCCGGTGCCGGGGCCGGTGCCACCACAAGACAGAGTCGTCCGGCCATCGTAATAACTGCGACAGAGTACTGAACCTATTCACTTGGTGCTTATCGGTCACGTTTCGCTGTGTGCGACTATGTGAGCGTGTGCGCACTCTCTCGTAGGTTTTTCTCTTGCCTCATTGTATTCAAATGGGCAATCGACCGAGACGAAGAAGCAAAATTCCAGCCGTTCCTTCCAAAGAAATTCCAGAAAGTTTTCCAGATACGTGTCGCTTTGGTCGTCCATAGTTTTAGCATTTGCTGCTTCCGGCTGGCGCTGTCATGTTTGGTTGTTTGCTCGGCTACGGCCAGTGGTCAATACTGTGACAACGTTAGCATGTTATTTAGTAGACGTACTGTTGCCTGTATGTAAGCAGCGTACGAAAACAGCTGTAATGGTCCCAACCTTGTTGCGCTGCCAACGCCGGACATCGCAGGACCGCCACTAAAGCATCCCCTTTCTACCTTCATCGTCTCTAGCTGAACAGTTTTACATCCAGTACTGCCATTAAACAGTATTTCAGGACGACGACAACAACAACAACGATGACGATGACGCTGACTGCTACTTGATATAGTTTTTGGCGGCGGCGGCGGCGGCGGCGGCCAGCTGCTACTGTAGCCTTGTTTCATTGGCACCCAGCCGTAGTTGTTGTTGTTGTTGGCGATTCGCTGTGGATATATACACACACATACATTTGTGAGAGGTGCGTGCACAGCTTCTGGAATTTGCTACTGGCCACAGCGGGGCCGTATTGGTCAGACAGGGCTTGAGCGTTAGAGCAAGATCGGTCACCAAAAACACAGGCAACAGCAGTATCTTGTGAACATCCCAGACCGGTCAGCTCGGCGTCTTTGCGAATAATCGACCCATTCACTAATACAATATCAGTGTATGGAAGGGAAAGGAGAGAGGATGCTGTACAAGCTCAACGATGATGTCTGTGCCAGCTAACCGGACGAGCTGCTATTACGCTTAATACTATCATCAGCTTCCTCTTTTCTCGAACAGATCGCAGGGTGCTACAGTAAAAAAGAAAAAGTCGAACATCACTCTACGTGGTGCTATACGTACAATTAGTTGTCCGTCTGATACAAACAACGAAGTCGTTTGGAGCTAATGCAGTAAAGGGCTGTGTTTTCTTCTACTACACACTGTCTCTATCCTTGAATAAGTATATAGATTGGGAATGGTGTGGTGACATTGTACATCAGAGAAACAAAGGAGAACTGTAGACTATACTTTGAAAACGATAGTTGGCGAAGGGAGAGCGTTCCGTTTTCCTAATTCTTGTTGCTTCAGATTCAGCTTATCTAGCAATGCGATGGAAACAGGCATGCGTTGTGGGTATGCATTCATAGCAACGGGAAAGTGCCTATTGTGGCCAAAGGCAAACAAGATAGAGAGGTGGCCGATGACGAGGACGGGGAGCGGGCTCGGAATTGTACGCCATCGACAGTTAGACCTATGAAAGCGTGTCTGTCCAGCGCGAAAAAGTCGATACCCAGTTGTCACGAAAGAAATAACACAGTGACGGTACGCAGCGGTCCGACAGTTTGTAGCTCAGTGGATAAGAAAGCGACTTCGAACAGCCTAATAATAAAATCTATTTACAAAACACTGCCATTGTGGAGGACAGAGGTAGCGACTTTGCGCCCAAGAATGGCATATTATCGATTTCCTGCTCGTGTTATCGCTCGAACGTATACACTAAGTGACACGTCGCGTGTGGGTGATTCTACTGCTGGTGTTTCTCCCGCTGTTGCGGCAGCAGCCGCTACTGTTATTGCT